CTTTTAAAGATAATGTAAAAAAACTGAACCAAGTTATTGTGTTCTTTCAAATAAAACACTTTAACATTGTGTTTTACTCGCGTAGACTACAGAAAGTGTTTTTATTATGTTCTAATACCTGTTTCACCTCGATAAGAGTTCTTTAACGTAAAAACTGTCAAAACGGGAAGCCTTTAGCAAATAGCGATACATGAAGATATGGCTACATCAAAGAGATTACAAATCTCTCTGAAGGAGATACCGTCGAATATATTCAGGAATAGTGTTGTACCATTTTAAAGACTATTGTATTGTTAACTTAAAAATAGTTCTTCAAAGGGGAACAGAGAAGCAATATCCAAATTTCCTTATGAAGTCCAACATATTTTAGAAATATTATATTATTATTATTATTAAGAGATTACATAAAATACTATCTGAGCAGAGTAGTTCACAATTAAAATAAAACACTTTAACGGTTTAATACGCGTTGTATATTAGCTAAACTTATACCTCACCGAACACCAACTACGACGGAACAGATGGCGTTAGTGTAGCAATTTTTACTTTGACATCAGAAACACCCTCCATCTTTAGTCTCCCCGTGACCTCCGCTGCTGCAAAACCTCCGAAACGTCGGAGCCGTATAAGTTAAAAATCATTTCGCGCTTTAAAGTTTAAGTTTTACTTAATAGGTAACGAACGTATTTTAAACAAATTGCAAAGGTTAACTGTTATATTTAAATCTGTACTACGACACACCCTGGAATTTACTGATAAATTATCATACAGTAATAATGCGCTGTCGTTCTTTTTATCGAGACTAAAACCTAATCGCGATTACTTTACGGCTTTGTGAATAACGGAATTTGAATATTCCTACCACGAGTTATGTGAAGTTTAATGACAATTTTCATAATATAAATCACAGTTGGCTTAGGTTTCTAATTATAGTAATCCTATTTTGATAAATGTAATAGTTTTAATGTTAGTCGTACATCACTAAATTCTAGTTAATCCGTTGTGAATACGCCGATACGTTGTTGCAAAAATATCTAGATACGCGATATTAATTTGGATTCGGGAAATCGAAGTGGATGTCTTTGTAAACATAGGTTTTACGTAAATTTTTCTCACTGAAAAAATTTCGATGGATTTTATTAGATTCTAGTGTGCTTAAAGTGTATTTTTAAAGATTGGAGTAAATATTAAAAATATATTACAAATTAAAAATCTCTATCTATATTGTTATGAGTACTTCTCCTTAGCGAGAACAACGCAACACTAGTCCGACGCGATTAACGCGCCCGTCCCCGCACTAGCTAGCAAATGTCAAATACGCACGATGGCGCGCGCGCATTTTGGCGGTAAAGCATAATTCTGTCTAATAAAATTCGTTTTAATAATATCTAAATAGTAAAATTTCGGTTTAACTAACGTTTTCATGAGTAAAACTATAGAAATAGGTTATTGGAATAGTAGACATTATCTTGTTTTGCAACTTACATGTTGACGTATAATAAATAGTTCAGTTTTTGTAAGATTATATCAAGATATATCATCTCTGACGTAATTTAAAACGCATAATGTTTGTCCATACTTGCGAGAGATTGTATTCTCTTATTGTTTCACTCATCGATTTTATGTGTTGTCTGTAGTTTACGCGAGTACACATTTAAATAAAACAAATCTAACGGTTTATAACGTGAAATATATAAGGTAACTTATTTTCTAGTAAATTATTTCACGTTTCAGATGCTTTACAGTAGCCGTGGGCACAGGGGGGACTAAAAATGGAAAGTTATGCAAAGTAAAGTAGCGCCACGTTACCAGGTGGCGCTACTTTACTTTGCATATAATAATATCTTTATCTATAATAATATTTTTGGAAAATACGGCTTACAGAACTGTCTTTGACTTTAAGAGGTATGCCGTTCAGATTAGCTTACTATCAGATTATGCTCTACTTGAACGAAAGTGTTGCTGTATATGGGCCCAGACTCTTGGCACGGTCAAAACATTTTATTTATTTATTTATTTACACAAATATATGCTGCCATTACAGATATAATCCAATTCGACAGTAATACACAATATATAAAAAAATACATATGAAAACTAAGTTTTAATAACTATTTTCATTAGTTCTAGTAGTAATTTCGTTAAGAACAATATTTGCTATTTCACTCCAATACCCCGTGAAAATGTCAACCTTTTGGTGTACAATATTAACTACTCGTATTGTTTGCGTGATGAGCGCCCTGGCCATCAAGTTGGAATGCGCGAAAGGCACAACCAGCAACGGTGGATGATGCCGTTTTCCCACGTATCCGTCCGGCACACTGAAGTAAAGCCAGCGCAAAATAACGGCGTTATGTTCTTTACCCCGAAGAATTTTTATTAAATACGTCGCCAAAGAAAATCCTCGTCTCACCCTTAATTCGCTATATCCTACCATACCCATGACGAACAGTGTAGGATACATGAGTGGGTAAAATGTGTAAACCCCATATTGTTTGAAGTACAAATATCTCAAAAACTTGTTTTGAACTCGCTCCAGCATGAGCTTATATTTGTCTTCATAGGGTGCCCAAATCCATGCATTATATTCGAGATGGCTTCTTACTAAAGTATCGTACAGGACTTTAACAGTAGCCATATTGGTAAAGGCCTTGGTTTGTCTAAGTACAAGTCCTAATTTTCTGTACGACTTTTGGCATATTCTTACAACGTGATCTCGAACCAGTAGGTCCGGAGTAAAATGGATCCCTAGGTCACGGACTTCTGTCACCCGCTGTAATGATACTTCACCCAACCTGTAGTCATATATGTGAGGGCTTCTAGCTCTGGTAAAACTCATTACGGTACATTTTGCCACATTAAAGAGTTTTTTTCGACTCCACTCGACTATATTTTGAATATCATTATTCAGCAGTTGACAGTCTGATATGTTCTTTATTTGGCGGAATATCTTCAGGTCATCGGCAAACAACAAACACTGACTAAACCGTACGGCTTCTGGCATGTCGTTCAGCATTAGCAGAAATTCGAAAGGCCCAAGGTTGCTTCCTTGACTTATGCCTGATCTGGTGTAGTATGGCTCCGAAACACGTCACATGTAAGATGCCCAAAAACGGAGTAACTTGGACGTGAACCCTACGGCGGATAGTTTACTCAGCAGCACGTCATTGTCCACGGTGTCAAAAGCTTTTTTTAAATCAAAGTAGATTACGTCAACTTGTCCTCCCGAATCCACTACAGGTATTAAGTGCGTCATTAAGTTAAGCAGATTAGTAGCAGTACTGCGCGCCGGCCTGAATCCGTGCTGCCCATCGCAAAGCTGCGGTGCAACCTGCGTGTATATATTGCGATAGATTGCCGATTCGAAGACTTTAGCCGGAGTAGACAGCACCGCCACCGGCCGGTACTCACTCACGTCTGTTTTCGCCTTACCTTTAGGTATCGGAACCACCCTGGTCGTTTTCCAGGCATTAGGGAACGTATCGGATCTTAAACAAGTATTAAATATATGGTACAATGGTTCCGCCAACACTCTACTACAATCCTTGAAGAGGAACAGAGGTATCCCGTCAGGACCAACGGACTTCTTAGGCTTTAAGTGTGCAAGAGCTCGCTTGACTTCCGCTATGCTTAATTCATCAAGGCGCACCAAGTGACTACTCGTTCCGTGAGCTGCTGCTGCCTGCACATCTAGTCGTGGTCGCTCAGTAGTGTACACGCTCTGAAAATAAGCAGCGAACATTCGCGCACACTCATCATCTGTAAGGCACACACCGTCTTTAATAATGTTGTTATTGGGCAATGAGCCCCTCTTTGTTCTTATAAATGCCCAGAAAGATTTAGGATCAATAGAAAACTGGTTTTGAATATTATTAATATGCTGCTTGTATGCCGCTTCGATACTCTTCTTAACCATCGTTCTCTCTAAAGAAAACTTCTCGTAATTAAAGTAGCTTTTTGTCGCTTTATACCTTTTATGAAACACTGCTTTATTTTTAATGCCATTTATTATTTCCTTAGTATACCAGAGCGGATATTTATATCTGTTGGTATTTCTAATTACCTTTTTCCTAGGCACACACTCATCTAAAACCCCGTTTATTACGTTATAAAAGTAATTCAGCATGTCATTTACGTCAATCATATTATAAAGGCTACCCCAATCTATTGTCGTTAAACGTAGGTACAACGACTGATAGTCGGCTTTATAGAAATTCCAACGCGGTCGCAACGTTTTATGTGTCAAAGTATCATGCCGTATATTATTATTCAACAAGTTACCTCTATGCGTGATGCGCAGGCTCACCTCCAGCGGGGGATGATACGGGTCCACCGGCACAATCGCGCTGTCCACCTCGCAAACCGACGCCTCATCACACAAACAATACGAACATAACACCAAGTCCAGTTGTATATTGTTACAGTTAAACACACGGTTTACTTGAGCGACTTCGCAATAAGATAAGAAAAATTCAAAATAATTTTTAACATTTTTGCAACTGGAATTTAAATTGAAATCTCCTAATACAATCACTTGTTTATACATTACACATAATTGTTCAATTAATCTAAAACATATCATGTACTGACTCTCACTAGTTTTAGGAGGTATGTAAACAACACAGCATAAAAATAAAAATTTGTTATTAGCATAAACTGTCGCGCTAACGAGTTCGAACGAACACTGATCTATGTTGACGTAACTGCAAGCCCGACGCGGCCACTAAAAACGCGCCGCCTTGTTTACGTCCATCCGCGCGGTCACACCTTAATATTTGATAACCGACAGGTATAATTTCGCTATCCATAATGGAAGCGTTACATGCCGTTTCCGTTATAGCCACCAAGTTCGCGTTGAGTAGTTCTATATTTTGAGAGAAACTATTTAACTTCGTTCGAAGACCTCTGGCGTTTTGGTAGTATAGGATCAATTCAGGTTTATTCTTGAGTTTCTTTTCTTTTGGGCTTCCGAAACCAAAACCACTGACTAAATTCGGAGTTCATTGGCCACACTTCTGGAACACACAGTTTTTCATAGATTGCCTCTGAAGCAGATACAACAAAAGATGCATAGGTCTTTTCCTTTTTGTGTTTAATTTTTTCAACACCAATTTCTATATCAGACCCACATATCCCTTTAATGTGAGCTATTAACATGTCCTCTGTAGTCTCGGCGTTCAAACGCCACACATGCAGATGCTTCTTTTTTTCCGTGGCCTGAATTTCGCCCAAATTCGTGTTGATTCCTTTAATTACCGGAGTACGATATTTTTGGTTTTTAACACTGGCAGACTTTAGAGGAAATTCTTTAGCACCTTGGTGCGATGATCGAGTTACTTCGACCCTAGCGCTCGACGTCGTCGGTTTCGCGGCCACACATACCTTTCTTGCCGCGGACACTTTGTTTATATTTTTCGAAATCGACCCACTAGCTTTTTCCACATAAGTGGGCAAAACTTGTATATTATGGTCTGTAATTCTGCTTGCTTCGATACTTCTATTGCATAAATTGCTACTCTCTGTATGGGTAGGCGCAGTAGATTTGTTTTCTTGCAATTTTTTCCCACGAACTACCCTCATATATTTGGAATGCAATTCCAATACTTGGGTTTTTGTTGTTTCACATAATTCCTTTAGATCTTTAATCACTTTCGTTTGCACATCTAAACGTTTTAACACTTCCACTTTGAACTCCCGAAGCTCAGCCAACAGGATGCCATTCAGCTCACTTTCAGGAAACGTGTAGTTGGATGCTCTTCTGCAGGTTCCACGTTTAGTATTTACGTTAGACGCAAAAATATCATCACTATGGCAATGAGACCTTATGTCTGCAACTTCCAGCTCTTCACCACCACAATTTTGGCAAGTTTTGGACATAATAACTACTTTTTTTCAACAATTGAATACGGAGAGAAATAATACGTCTTAACTGAACGAACGAACGAACGGAATCGTTTAAATAAGTTAACATGCCATGCAGAGTACAAAATGCTTGCATCCGATTTTGTTGGGATATACCCCGAAGCCATATAACTCCATATATTGTCCAGATGAACATACTTAACATGGAAAACAGGAGACGCTTGCAATTTGCTGCCCTACTCTATGACGTCATCTTGTCTAAGGCGTCTCAGTCTTCACGTATACGCGAAGCTGTCATGGATGAGGCAGGCTGTCATGGTTTAATGACATCCGCAAGACATAGTACAGCCGCTTTCCAAGGTAGTGTTACTTACAACGCAACCGACTGCCGGAACAATTTGCTACTGACGAGACTTCCATGCGAGTTTGGGACCACCATTATTTAAACTATTAACATATTGTTATATAATTAATTATTCCTTTAAATAAAACACTTTAACGGTTTAAACGCGATATATTAGTTAAACTTATTTGAAAATGGTCACGGGGAGACTAAAGATGGAGGATGTCTCTGACGTCAAAGTAAAAAATTGCTATTTGATATTTGGCGAAACTGGCCGGGTCCTTACAAAATTGACTAACGGTGTCTTCGCGTTTGCCGGTATGCTGTTTATTGGGATCCGGTGTTTTTAATATGGGATCTTGGGTGTTTGATAATTTGAGGCCGTCCTCCCTATTTAAATTTCGGTGTTTTTTGATTTCTATTGCTTCGCGTACCAATCTTGGAAGAAATCGACTCTCCTTTGTGAGGATTTTTGGCTGGTCAAAGCGTATGTAATGATTGGGCCCTTCCGATGAGTGTTGGCATACGGCAGATTTGGAGAAACGTTTATGTTTTATATCCGCGACGTGTTCTTTAATTCTGTTTGAGATGCTACGCTTTGTTTGGCCGATGTAGGATAGGCCACAATCACAATCCAGTCTGTAAACGCCTGCATCTTGTAGGGGGATAGTACACTTGTTTGGTTTCAGGAAGTGCTGAATCTTCTTGTGCGGATTGAAAATTGTGTCAATAAAAGCTCGATTTAGGACTCTGTTAATTCTATCTGTAACTCCCTTCACATGTTAAAGTGTTTTATTTAAATGTGTACTACTCGCGTAAACTATTGACAGTATTTTTTTTTCCTTTAAATAAAAAATTAAAAAATTTCGACTCGACAATTGAGCTACCGTATCTAAAATCGATTTTTAATCTTAAGCAATAAATCATTATAATAAACGACATTCCACTTTTAAATAGGTAGCGTCGAATATAATCACATCTACCCTCACTCAGACATTTAACTTACCAAATCTTATGTAATTGACCTGCATACGTCAATATTTTATGTACGTATCCAAAATGCGATGAGTCAGCGAGATAGCCGCAAAAGCTGCCGACCTCCCTAACGAGCTTAGCTAAGAGCATATAACGTTTTCCTCATCCGAGGTTTAGGGAAGTTACGTAAACATGATGTACGTCTAACTATTACTACATCTATTTCTTTGATTCTGCGAATGTACAGCCACAATAGGACGACAGCGCATTTTAATTTTATGCTGGTTTTTCACCCTACATGTAACCTTTGAGGCATGTTAAACTGGACCTCCTTGGAAAGCAGATGTGCAACAATAAATCATTATTATTACATTATGTTTGTTATAGTATATCGATCTTGGGCTTATTATATTACTTTACCAAACTTCACTCTTTTCCTTCTATACCCGGGCCAATCTGAACCAGCGCTGCTGTGTGCCAAGCATTCAGCAGCACAGCTGAGACTGGTACCGATTGCCATCTCTTATGTATTTATTGTTTATATGCACGCAGTTATTTAGTATATAACGTTGTAAATGTCATACTCGTATAATGTCGATTTGAATTTGAGTTAAACTGTTCATGAACTCGTCTAAAATTCTTTTATAGCCTACTAGCTGTGCCCGCGACTTCGTTCGCATGGAATAGTGACTTGGGGTAGAATTTTTAATTATTTAGGATGTTTATTAATTTGTGTAATTGCGCATTTATCGCAGCCAATCTATGTTGCAATTAGTGCTACTTTGCCTCAATACTCTCACCTCACATAAATCCTACTCTAACTCTCACTTCCACTCCTCCCAAGCCTCTGTCCTTTCTTAAGGTACCATAATTTGTGTACCAGATTTCATTCAAATCCGTTCCGTAGTTTTGGCGTGAAAGAGTAACAGGCAGACAGACAGAGTTACTTTCGCATTTTTAAAAGCGCATATATATAAGACAGGAAATAAGTAAACATTAATAGTGGTATAATGCTAGTTTGAGTCCCGTCTAAAAAGGTTGATAGATGTACTTAGTAGGCCATCCGTAGCGAAATGGTGAAATGCGTTCCCTCGCACTGCGTTAAGCACTAGAGGCCCTGGGTTCGGATCCGGGACAATAATTGATATTTTTTAAGATAAGATAGAAGAGGACAGACAAGCCTGGGGTTTACTTCGTACTTTTGGCTTTGGATATTTAGGAATCTACAGACTGAAACGAAACGCAATTAAGTTTCACAGTTTTCATCACGGTTCTTGATTGTATTGAATAAGTATAATCAACTACTTGCCTGTATAAGGACCAACCAATGGAACGAACACAGCAATGTGTTCGCCCCATGTCCCACGGCGAGACGGGATTTCGCCTTTTTCTCATAGTTCGATATCTATACTATAGCTAAATAAAGCTGAAGAGTTTGTTTGTTTGTTTAAACGCGCTAATCTCAAGAAGAACTAGTTCGAGTTGAAAACTCTGAACATTTATCGAGGAAAGCGAAACACGAGCTGTGACTAAGTGGAGCGAAGGGACAGCGGGAAATGTATTGCGTACGCTACGAAAACTGTTCTAGATACCTAAAAATATGGATAAATGAATGAATACTCTTTAAATGACGTACAAAAATGTCCGCGACACTAGATATTTCTTTAAGATTAACTTGCAATAACGGCGGGACGCGATCGACGTCGTGGGTAACAGCTATAGTTTATAAGGATGAGAAGGAGGTTTGCAAAAACAAATGTTGACGCCCGAAACTACGACGGACGGAGAAGCGGGCACAACTAGTATCTTATAATTGGGATCTCAAGAATTTTACAGTATATTTCCCACAAAGCTTATGAATGTATGCTTTATCTATACTAAAATATAAAGCTGAAGAGTTTGTTTGTGTGAACGCGGTAATCTCAGGAACTCCTAGTTCGAATTGAAAAAAATATTTTTGTGTTGGTTAGAGCATTTATCGGGGAAGGTTATAAGCTATAACACATTGCGATGATTATAGGAGCGAAGATAGAGCGAGAAATGTAAACAAAACGGGGGGAAATTGTTCATCTCTGTAGGTTTCAGATGCGTACGCTGCGAAAACGGTTTAAGATACCTAAAAATTGTGTATGAAAGAATGATCCCCCTTTAAATGATCTAAAAAAAGTCCGCAACACCTATATGTCTATCTTTTAAGATTAACCTGCAAGAACGACGGGAAGGGACGTAACAGCTTAAGTTTATAAAGAAGACGGGGTTTAAAAACGGATTTGGATGCCTAAAATAACGATTCTCGCTGGAACAGCTAGAAGTTACATAAAATTTTGCCTTTCGATGCAAACATCGGCCAAAGACAGAAGACCTAGAATAAAAATTCATTCGTTCAAGTCTATTTAGTTCCAACTTAAAGCTCAGTTGAAAACTGCAATTGAAAAGTGGAAAGTGAATTAAAAAACAATTAGCCGTGTACCTTTGAAGAAAAAGGACGGCTATCATACAGCGTTTTATTCTGTTCTATCTCTGTAAGTTGAACAAAGGATCAATTAAGCTTATATAAATAGGGTTGCCGCTATCTTTTAAGCATTGTCTATTCGAAGCGGATGAAACATATTTGAATAAAACACTTTGAACGGTTTAAAACGCGGAGTATAACTTATCTTTAAATTTGTAGCAACTACAGGCCGACGTTTTAAATGCTTTGCAGCGTGGCACTAGCGTAGAAGTTGTGATTGTAACATTAGGTACACCTAGAGGATGTCTTCAGTTCCCTGGTGACCACCACAATTTAACCGCGTTTTGAACGGTTAGGAGTGCTGTCTTTTATATTATTAATAAATGGAACTGAGGACGATAAATACAAATAAAAAAACAATAACAAATAAATAAACAAGATGCCCTATTGACATATTATTGTTCCTTTGGATATTTGGTGATTTCCAAATCCAAGCAATAATACTGAAATTGAAACGCGATTAAATGCACGTTTTTTTCATCTGTGGACGTTAGTTTTAGCTGTCGTTATAAACACGTGAAATGTCATTTATATTTTTCAATATTATGTGCAAATATAATATCGACAAAAAATCTCGACCTCCGATTGTTAGTTACAAAATGTTAGACAAAATTCATGAAATTAATTTGTGACTAGTGTAGACTGTGTGTACTACACGTATTTATATTAATAATTAATAAATAATGTATTTTTTTAATATGACTTTATTATATAAGAATAAATACAATTATTTCAATAAGGTGGCAACCCTGGGAGTATTAATTAAATATTCATATCTTTATTTCTTGATCCCGCTTATTGTATAAAACTTACGGATACTGTTTCAATTACTTTTAAGTACCTTACTTACTTAGGAACTATGGAGAATATTTATTGTTTTTTACAGTTAATACACATTAGAGCTAAGAGGTAGGTCTATAAAAATCGAAGTCCAAAATTGGTTGGCAAACAAGGTAACCAGATTTATGTAGTCTGCAGGAAAGGTTATCCTATATATAATCAATCTATACTAATATTATAAGGCTGAAGAGGTCGTTTGTTTGTTTGAATCCACCAATTTTCAGGAACGGCTGGTTCGAATTTCAAAATATTTTTTGTGTTGGACAGCGCATTTAGCCTATACGTAGAAAAAAGCTGCGAAGTTTATTCGCGTTGCGGTGTCAGTCTTTGCATTGCAAATATCCA